AGATTACCCAATTAAAAAGTGTACAAAGGATCTGAGCAGACATCTCCAAAAAAAATAGAGGACAACACGCACATGAAAAGATGGTCAGGAAAATACAAATCAGAACCACAGTGAACTATCACATCACCCCCGCCCCCAGGATGTCTATAAACAAAAAGACAAATAATAGCAAGTGTTGGCCAGGAATTTGAGACATTATTGCCCTCATTTGTTGCTGGTGGAAATCTAAAGTGGTACAGAGCCTTGGAAAAGGGTTTGGCAGTTCTTCAAACTTTTTTTTTTTTTTTTTTTCTTGAGACTGGGTCTTGCTCTGTAGCCCAGGCTAGAGTGCAGTGGTGGAACCACAGCTCACTGTAGCCTCTAACTCCCAGGCTCAAGTGATCTTCCACCTCAGGCTTTGAGTAACTGGGATTACAGGTGTGCACCACCATGCCTGGCTAATTATTTTATTTTTTTTTATATCTGCAGGGTTTCACTTTGTTGCACAGGCTGGTCTTGAACACCTGGGCCCAAGGGATCCTCCCACCTCAGCCTCCCAAAGTTTTGGGGTTACAGGCATGAGCCACTATGTGCAGCCTCTTCAAACTATTAAACGTAGTTACCATATGATCAGCATATTCACTCCAGATGTATACCCAAGAGAAATAGAAACATGTTCACATAGACATTTGTATGCAAATGTTTATGGCAGCATTATTCCTGATAGCCAAAAGATGGAAACAACCAAATGTGTTTCAACAGACAAATGGGTAAACAAAATGTGCTGTATTCATACAATGAAATATTACAGTTAAAATATATACAATTTTAGCTGTAAAAAGAAGTGAAGTACTGTACATGCTTTATTTAACATGGATGAACCTTGAAAACATTATACTAAGTGAATGAAGAGTCAGAAAAACACACACACATATACAGGCCCACACAGTATATTATCCCATTCATATGCACATCCAGAAAAGCAAAATCTATAGAAACATAAAGTAGATTAGTGATTGATTGGGACTGGGGATGGAGTGAGGAAGATGGAGTGTTACAGTTAAAGATACAAGATTTCTTTTTGAGGTGGTAAAATGTTCTAAAATTGACTGTGGTGATGATTGCACAAATCCCTGAATATATGAAATTCATCAAATTGTACACTTTCAATGATTGAATTCAAGTTGGTGGTATGTTGTGTAAAGTATATATATGAAAGTTGTCAGATTCATCATGGAGTCACTTGTGTCAAAGCCTGGCAAAGCAGAGCTGGGGGAAGGTCATAAAGGGGAGGCTCTCACGTATGATTTGCCTGATTACAAGGACTAGCACAAGAAATTTTTCTAAACTTTTCTAAATTTTTCTAAACTTCATAAGGCACACACAAGGACAGCTAGCCATTTATACAAGAACATTTGCCAGACAAACTGTCTCACAAGCCAAATCCAAACTGCAAGAGTCTAACCATAAAACTAAAATTGCAAGTCCTACCTTGAAATTTACTGAGACTCACCAGTCAGAACTCACCAGCTCTTATATAAGATGCTCCAGTGCCAGTAAGCTTTCTTTGAAAACAACTTGCATAACCTCCTCTTTGCCCAATAAACCCCAGCCTTTCTTTTGTTTTCCAAACATACCAGGGACCACCCTGTTCTCTATGTGCATTCCAGATAGCAATTCTGTTTCTTGTATGTTATTCCCCAATAAAACCTTGTTACTTAGGAGATATGTCTCTCTATATTTTTTATGGTGACATATCTTTTATGTTTTAAGTTGACATATAATATTTGTACATATTTATGGAGTACAGAGTGATGCTGTGATACATGTAATGTATAGCAATCAGATCCAGGTAAAAAGAGAATGGTATAAGAGGAGATAGATTAAATTATTCCGGGAATTTTTGATTAAAAAAGAAAAAAGGAGTGACACTACCTCTTTCATTGAAATAATAAGAAAATCACAGTGAACAGATGAAGTTATAAGATGGGGGGAAAAAAACCACAAGAAGTGCCAAGTTAAGAAAGGTCATGGCCAGTGGTTTTGGTCTTAGGGTAAAACAGAGACAAAAGTCACCTGTAAAGATTGAAGGGTTGCAAAGTAGAATTTTAGGTTATTACTTTGAGCTTCAGGTCTCTTGGTATTAAAGGGGTTTGTATAAATGTCCAGTAGAAATCATTTACTTTTTCTCTGCAGTACTTGGCCAGCTTAGCAGCAGACACATCTCAATAAGTTTTTCTTAGGGCTTTGAAAGAAAGGCGAATTGGAAAAATTGGGGTGCTAATGAGAGCACCCTGAAATGATGGCTATGGAAAAAAGGATGACATAGACCTGGTGGGCTGATGGAAACTAGAAGCAGGAAGGGGTCATGTAGCATAGATTACAATGAAGTCAAAAAACAAGTTATTTAGAGTAAAATATACTACCCTTATAGATATACAAAGCCCAGCACGACTCGGTCCATCTGTTGTCTCTGATGTTACCTTGTACTACCCTCCTGTTACTTGATCCGCTCCTCTAGCCAACACAGCCAGGTATATTCTGTCTTCAGGGCCTTTATACTTGCTGTTCTTTCCTCATAACAAGCAATTTCCCTGAAAATTCTACACAATTTGCTCCCTCCTTTCCTTCAGGGCCCCTCAGGAAGCTTTCCACTGATCTAAAATTGGATGAAAAAGGAAAAAAGACTTAAACATTATTCTCTATCTTCCTTGCTTTATTTTTCTCCTAGCACTTACTGTTATCATATTCCATATTTAACTTACTTTAATTTTATATTTTTGTGTATATCTCTCCTGTTACTATGTAAGCTTTAAGAAGACAGGGATTTTTTTTTTTTTTTTTTTGACAGTTGATGTTATGATGTTGAGCTTCTTTTTCTTTTCCTTTTTTTTTGTTGAGACAGCGTTTTGCTGTGTCTCCCAGGCTTGATTGCAGTGGTATGATATTGGCTCACTGCACCCTTTGCCTCCCAGGTTCAAGCGACTCTCCTGCCTCAGCCTCCTGAATAGCTGGGATTGCAGGCACGTGCCACCATGCCACCAGGCCCGGCCGGGAATTTTTTTTAAAACCAAGTTCTGTACTATATTTCTGTACCTAGGAAATACTTGGCAAATATTACAGAGACTTAATATTTGTGGAAGAAAAAATAGAGACAGAAGGTGGGGCATGTGGAAAGTTTCCTTTAAGCTTGAATATCTTAGAGCTGGAGCAGTTCAAAATGAGGATTCAAATTTGGAAGCCCCCCCAGTAAAGCCAAAATAAAGGTTATTGTAAATGTAGACTTTTAATATAGGACAGGGTTTAGAAAACTTGACATTGTAGTCACCAAAGATCTTTACAGTAGATATGGAGAACAGGAAAGTGTTAGTTCTTATAATTCAGTGCCAGGATTTCTGCAGAAGTGGAAGAGGCTTCTAAGGTCAGTAGATGACATGAGTAAAAATAGTGACATTTAAATAGATGGCTTGGACTTCAACAGAGGATTGCTTCAGACAGATTTAGATACTAAGTTCTTTCATGCTCCCATTGTGATCTTGGTATCTTCATCTATTATAGAAATTATAATTAGCATTTTACCTGCCAATTTCTTCACAAGACTGTAAAGCACTCTTTATCTCCACAGCACTTAACAAAGTGCCTGGTGCATAGTATTCTCAGTAAATATGTGTTGAGTGTAATACTTACTGAATGAGAAAATATTAAGAGATAACTATGGAATTATGATGTAGGAGCCAAGAGCATTCTGATCTCTAGGTCTTATCAGTTGACCAGAAGGGTGAGAAAAAGAGAGAGCCGAGTTTCATATTCATGAAGGAGCAGGTCAGATGTTTTAAAGGTTAACATTTTGATGAAGGGATATTAGTTCTTTATAAAAGAAAAAAGACAATGCAGAAGCTGGTAGAAGGATTGTAAACAGGCGGGATGTGAGAAGACAATTGCAGGAGAAAGGAAACAGATGAAAATAATGGTTATAGGCATTTGATAGTAATTGTTGAAGGAAAAATGTAAATCAAATAGTTGATAGCTAAACAAAAATCAGCATGAATTATTAAAGATATGGGAAGTGCAAGCAGGCAAGAAATATTTCTCAGGTTAAGTTTGTGAAGAATATTATAGAACAAAGTATCATAGAATTCCAGTTGGGAGTATTTACGTGATTTTAGGAGTTTCACAAATATTTTTATTTTGTCTTGACTCTTGTTAGTAACACAAAAAAGGAAAATGTAAAAACCTAGGTCTGTACACTTCCCTCAGATAGTGAGCTTTGTTGGGGAGGCAGCTGTGGATGGAAAGGGCTAAGGTAATGGAGCAGGTCTCTGCAGGCTGTTCTCTCTTTGTATGCTTCGGTAAGTCTATAAGCAGGATTTGCAAATAAAGACATAGCCTCCATTAGCATTAATAGGATTTTACTGTTATTCTTTTAGTTTCAGGAAACAGGTAATACATTAGGTATTCATGTGTATTATTGAATACACATGAATATGTTATTCAGTTATAGCGGGGCGTCACGTAGAAATTAAAATGTTAACACAGGTTGGGTGTAATTGCTCACACCTTTAATCCCAGCATTTTGGGACCCCAAAGTGGGTGGATCACTGGAGGTCAGGAGTTTGAAACCAGCCTGGCCAACATGATGAAACCTCATCTCTACTAAAACTACAAAAATTAACCAGGCGTGGTGGGCACTGTAATCCCAGCTCTTTGGGAGGCTGAGGCAGGAGAATTGCTTGAACCCAAGAGGTGGAGGTTGCAGTGAGCCAAGATCGCAGCACTGCACTCCAGCCTGGGTGGCAGAGTGAGACTCTGTCTCAAAAAAAAAAGTTAATATAGTCCTAAATGTTTAATTATGAAATATATTTGTAAATATGTACATTGTAAAACAAACTCTTTTCTTTTTGTTAGTATAGAGTTACATTTTTATGGGAGATGCATTTTTTAAAAAGGTATTTATAGCCTGATACAATAGCATTTAGTTCTGTTCAATTTAAGTTAGTTTTTTGAAAATTTTGTTTCTACAGTCCAGAAAAGGCTTTGAAAGACTCACTACAACCCTATGAGGCTGCTTATCTATCAAAATCCTTATCTCGACTCTTCGATCCTATCAACTTGGTTTTTCCCCCAGGTGGTCGTAATCCTCCTTCCTCTGATGAACTTGATGGTATCATTAAAACTATAGCAAGGTACGTATTTTTTATATGTGGCATGCCATAAGATGACTGCCATATTTGTTAGTGATATATGATAGCAGTACATTTTTAATTTATTTTCAAACTATTCAGGTAATTACCCCCACAATTAAAAGTTTCACAGCAAATGAATGCACACATAGTAAGTACTTGAGATTCCAATTAATGAAATAATTTAAATACCTTAAATATAGTCTAAAAATAGTTAATTACTCTGTATCTTGCCAAGGATGCAAAGTAAGCCTAGCTCTTCCCAGTAAATTTCTTACATTACACAAGAAATTAAATATAATAAATGATTTTATAAAACATACAGGTTAATTTTTTTAATCCTAACCTCCAGAAAGTGCTTCATGGCAGAAATAGGAATATAGTCTTGATTAGCCTACTTGTGTTTGCTATTTAAAGCTTTTTAAGTGAATGTGACAGCTTTTAAGACTCTAAAAAGGGAAGGTATCCTAGCAGAGGTGCCACCTGAATGCCTGCAGACAATGTAATTATATACTGTTGCCTTTACACGTTTACATTTAAAAGTTATCCAGACTAATTTGCAGTTGAAATTATCTCAGTTTCTGTCATGACTAACAAGTTGTCATAATAGTAGAACTGTGCATTTGAGATGGACATTTTAAGGAATAAAAAATAGTATAAGACCAAGGTCTAAAATCTTTTAAAGATTTGAAGATGGTGATTCTGAGGCGTGGAAGGGTAAGACTAAAAAGCCACAGGTGGCCAGGCATGGTGGCTCACACCTATAATCCCAACACTTTGGGAGGCAGAGGTGGGTGGATCACCTGAGATCAGGAGTTCAGAACCATCCTGGCCAACACAACGAAACCCCATCTCTACTAAAAATACAAACATCAGCTGGGCTTGGTGGTACACACCTATAACCCCAGCTACTTAGGAGTCTAAGGCACCAAAATCAGTTGAACCTGGGAGGCAGAGGCTGCAGTATCCTGAGATCGCGCCACTGCCGTCCAGCCTGGGTGACTGAGCGAGACCTTGTCTCAAAAAATAAATAAATAAATAAAAGTAAGCCACATGTATAAAAATATACATAAGGGTATCTTTTGCTGCAAATGTACCTATAAATTGTCCAGATTGCCCGGCATCTAGGTCCTAAATCTCTCCACAATTGCTTTGACTTTCCACAGTTCTGACTTTAGGCCCTAGTAACTTGATCTCTTTGACCTGTTTAAGTAAATGTTAAAGAGGCATCTCTCCCATTCCTCTATGCAACTTGTCAATGCTGTAATCAAATATAATCTACAGCTGGAAGAATCGTGCTTATGCTAGCATTTGATAAAATTTAAAAGTGAACATTAACAAAATTATGTCTCAATACTATATGAAAGTGCATTTTTGTTACAAATAATATGCACTCACTTGCATTGTTTCAAACTCTTCTAACTTTTTTAAAAAGAAAATCTGGTAAGTGCCAAGATTTACTCTACTGTTTCAGGGACAATAATTACTTTTCTTGCCTTCCATCTGTATATGGGTTTCCATATGATTTTTAATTTCTAGCATTCATTCCATGGTCTTTGTAAATACCTGTTTTTTTGGCAGTCAGATCAAATGACCCAGTCAATCCAGTGTTAAAGTTGAAGCATGAAAAAAAATACTTTAAGAATACAAATTTTTTAAATGTGTAATTATAGCCCTGTTATGCTTTTATATTATTTAAAAAGTTACTCTATTCGAACTGGCATGAATTGGCATAATTTCTACAAAAACTGAGTATATATCATCTATAATTTACATTTTTAGCCTATGTCCCTTCAAGGTCATCATTTCCATTCAAAAGCTGTCATTTCCTTGCAGATGTGTATGATATGCAATGCCTCTAATTGCACTGTATCAGTATTAGCAAGAGTGCTACTTTAATCTGTTCACAATTTACTCTCTTAATCACAGACTGAACCCACACATGACATGCTTTTATTAATGAGAAACTGGTCATTAAGGAAGCTATCTCCAGGCACTTTTGCCTGGTGCTGAATTTAGGGGGTAAAATGAAACAAGGCAACCAGTTCTTGGAAGCAGTGAACTCTATAAAAAGAATAACCACATTGCTTATTGGGTTTGAGTTTTTATCTTGCTCTTTACTTTCTTGATGAACTATGTTGCTAATATTTAAAAACTGTTTTTATTTTCTCCAGTGAACTAAATGTTGCTGCGGTTGATACAAACCTCACATTAGCTGTGTCAAAAAATGTGGCAAAGACCATCCAGTTATACAGTGTAAAATCAGAGCAGCTTGTAAGTGGTATCCTTTATCTGTAAACTTTAATGATTTTGTTTAAAATTACTAACTATATGATGCTTGACCACAAATACTGATTTAGTTCCATTTTTACTATAGTGAAAGTTTGTAACTTTCTGATGAATTTAAACCAGAAAAAAAAATTCTGTTAACAAAAAGTGGCGCTCCTACACATTGTCAATATATATACTTTCAGAAGACAGGCAAGTTTAATAAGGTTTTTTTTTTTTTTTAAATGTATGTGCCAATTTATGGGCTGATTATATATTTTTAAATATTTTAAATAATTTACATAAATTATAATTATACTCAAATTTTCCCTTTTGTGTGACCACTCACTCCATGTATTATTTATACAGTCACCTAGTGTGAAATTGACTTGAACTGTTAGAAAACTATTGGAGGAAGTAAAGTATGTAAAATTTTAGCAGAAAAATGTTTATTTACTTTTTAAAGATTTCAACCTTAGAGCCTGAGAGTTTAACCCTGAAATTATTCTGTTTGACATAGCTATATGCATGAATTTAAAATAAGTACAAAACTGAATCATACTCTTAATTCTATACATTAATGCTTTAAAGTTAAGCACACATATTTCACTAGTATATATGTATGCTAACTGAAATCCAAACAAAATGAGACGTCAATATATTTTTTGATATTACTGATATGCTAATTTTAGATACTGTGTCAAAATCTGTTTGTCTCCACTATCTTTAGAATGTTAGCCAACTACATTTTCAGTTTATCCTCTCTGGCTAGTCCCAATTGAAACATTGTAATAAATGTAATAATCTATTTTTACCTATATCCAAGTTGTTTCAGTTTGTTCTGCGATAATTTTTAGGGTAGGTTGGTGACAAACTGAAGGATTTGCACAAAATGATCCTTGGGGGTACCAGTCATGTTATGAGGCTTTCTACTTTCAGTTTCCATGGATGGACAGATTTTGTTTGCAAATGTGGTGCTATTTTCCATTCAGTTGATCTTGTAGTCTTGACAAAAATCATCTTAGAAGCACCTTCTTAAAAAAATTATTGAAAACTAACCATACAGAGACATGAAAGCTCTTTGTAGGCAATTACTATTAATTTAGATTACTATTTTATTCTCAATCTTTGTTTAAAGATGCTTTATTGTAATGTTCATTGCTTCCGAAACAGTTATTTCTAGAAATAAAATTCAGTATTATATCTAGTAAAGTTTAGTGTGGTCACTGACAATGTTGAGACTTGAAGATAACACCATAAGAAAGGTCCAGCATATGTATAGAAAGTACCTTGTGTTGAGGGTGGGGCAGGACAGTGGTAATGGTAACAGGTACCTCAGTTAACAGAGTAATGCCAAAAGACTTAGACGAAATCAAAATATATCTACAAACATTTGACTGAGTTGATAGTGTTGATCAAATCATCTGTGGCTATAAATTAGTTTGGCCTACCTAATCTACCTGCAGTGTTGAAGACTAACAGAAAGTCATTGGCATTTTTTGTTTTTTAGTTGAATTATTTCTTTTTTTATTAAAAATAGTTTTATTTTTCAATTTTCGTTTTAGTGTATAAGGGAAACCTCAGTATTAAATAAGATTATCAAAAGCATCATATGCTTTATTTTTAACAGTATATTATTGACTAATGTCTTAGGTAACAACTTGCTGTTAATGTTCATTTCTTGGCGTTTAATAACTCTGCTCCTCTGTGTTTGGAAATTATACATGTTTTGTTTTTTAATCTTTACAAATATTTCTTTTCTTTTAGAATAATTTGACAAAACATTTAGAGGAAAATTGCCAAATAGTAAATCTTTAGTGGAAGAAAGACTTGAAACAGATTTTTTAATTGGATAACTACTCTGCCTATAAGTGGAAATGTTGACTTAAGATTTGATATGAAAATTAAATCAATCAGTGGGAGATTCTTTTTAAAGGTGAAAAATTTAAGCCTCAGGTCCACAAGATTAAGAAGTGACAGAATCTGTTGTTTCCTGACTTTTTAATCATCACCATTCTAATGTGTGAGATGGTATCTCATTGTGGTTTTGTTTTGCCTTTCTCTAATGACCAGTGATGATATTTTTTTCATATGTTTGTTGGCTGAATAAATGTCTTCCTTTGGGAAGTGCCTGTTCATATCCTTCGCCCACTTGCTGATGGGGTTGTTTTTTTTTCTTGTAAATTTGTTTAAGTTCCTTGTAGATCTGGGTATTAGCCCTTTGTCAGATGGACAGATTGCAAAAATTTTCTTCCGTTCTGTAGGTTGCCTGTTCACTCTGATGATAGCTTATTTTGCTGTGCAGAAGCTCTTTAATTAGATCTCATTTGTCAATTTTGGCTTTTGTTGCCATTGCTTTTGGTATTTTAGTCAGAAAGTCTTTGCCCGTGCTCACTGCAACCTCCACCTCCCAGGCTGAAAGGATCCTCCCACCTCAGCCTCCACGTATGCCAGCATACCTCACTAATTTTTGTTATTTCTTGTAGAGATGATGGTCTCACCTTGATGCCCAGGCTGGTTTCAAACTCACGGGCTCAAGTGATCCACAGCGTTAGCCTCTTGAAGTACTGGGATTATAGGCATGAGCCACTGTACCCAGCCACAAGGAAAAATTTGAATTAGTGTTTTCCTTATCCCCTGTGTGTTAAAAGGAAACTAAAATATTAGTATATAAGGGAACTATTGTGACACCTTTAAAATTTATAGGCTTGTAAACTTTTTTATACCAACATTGGAGGCAAATAAACAATTAAGTATTCCTTTTAAAAGCTGAAGGGTATTTTCCAACAGTAATCATTATTTAACAGTTCCAGGGAATGGCATCTAGGATCTTAGTGTAAATGTGAAATGTTATGAACTGTGAGAAAGGAGATTGGCATTTAATTAGGTTGCAGACTATTTGAAACAATAAGAGGAATGACATTTATAAGGGAGGTCTCAACTTCAATGCAGATCAGTAGCCATGTATGAAGTCAATAGTTGTTGACAGTAAGGTTTTATTTTAAGGCTTTGTAAATATACACTTTATTCTTAATATAAATTCATAAGTTAGTTGGAGACTTGACATTCCTATAATGGAAAAAAACATACATGTGTGATATTTAAACAGTGTGGAGACATATGAACTCAAATATGAGTTCAGTTTTTTTGTTGTTTGTTTTTTGAGACAAGTGTTGCTCTGTTTCTCAGGCTGGTGTGCAGTGGCACTGTCTCAGCTCACTGCAACATCTGTCTTCCAGATTCAAGTGATTCTCCTGCCTCAGCCTCCTGAGTAGCTGGGATTACAGGTGCACACTACCATGCCTGGCTAATTTTTTGTATTTTTAGTAGAGACAGGGTTTCACCATGCTGGCCGGGCTGGTCTTGAACTCCTGACCTGGTGATTAGCCTCCCTTGGCCTCCCAAAGTGCTGGGATTACAGGTGTGAGCCACTGTGCCGGGCCTCAATTTTTATTTTATTTTATTTTATTTTTTTTTAGCTTTAAAAGTATTGGCTGGGTATGGTGGTTCACAACTATAATCCTGGCCAAAATGGGGAAACCCATCTCTACTGAAAATACAAAAATTAGCCAGGGATGGTGGCATGCCAGGAGAATTGCATGAACCCAGGAGACGTAGGTTGCAATGAGCTTAGATCATGCCACTGCACTCAAGCCTGGATGACAGACCTAGACTCCGCCTCAAATAAATAAATGAGTGAGTGAATGAATGAATGAATGGAATGTATTATTTAATGGAGATTTTAATGTCATTTACATGGAATATCACCCCATATATTACATGGTAATTGCTTATGTTGTTAATACACAAATATGAAATCACTTGGAAGAGTTTTTATATTATGTGCAAACAAATGAAACAAATCAGTAGTGTCTCTTTGACCAAATGCACTTTAGCTATAATACAAACACATGAATACCTTTGAATTACCTAGCTAGAGTCTTGATCCTTTTTTTTTTTTAAGCTATGGGATTCTCACTATGTTGGTCAGGATGGTCTTGAACTTTTGGCCTCAAGCAACCTCCCACCTTGGCCTCCCAAAGGGAACCACCACGCCTGGCCCACTTGATCCTTTAGATAGCCTTCCACTCTTTGTTACCTCTATTCTTACTTTGGACTATTTTAGGGTCACTTCATCCTTTCTTCAAGATAGCTTTCTGCCCTGGCACAGTGGATATACCTATTATCCTGGCACTTTGAGAGTTCAAGACAGAAGGATTGCTTAAGCCCAGTAGTTCAAGACTAGCTGGGGCAACATATTGAGACCTTGTGTCTACAAAAACAGCAGAAAAGAAGATAGCTATCTGACTTGCTTCTCAGACCTGTAAGAGCTTGATTTTCTGGGGGCTGCAATAAGTCAATACTAGACAAACTGTCAGGGCTAAGAGTCACTAGATCATATTGAAGACAGCAATGACAAATAATATTTTCAAGAGAAAAAAAATTGAAATTGCTAGTTAAAGCAGGTCAAAGTCTGTATTAGTTATCTGTTGTCATAAGAATGCTGTGTAACAGACAACCACTGTAAGCATGAGTGATAGTAAGCGTTTATTGCTCATGCTTCTTGAGTCATATGGGGTGCTACCTAAGTGGCTTTACTGAGCTTGGCTGGGCTTACTCACAAGACTGGCTGGCTGCTAATTTAGACTGGCCTTAACCATATTAAAATCCTGCTCTGTTCTACATGTCTCTAAACCTGCAGCAGGCTATCCTGGCTTGATCTCATGGTGAAGAAAGGGGCGCAGAAGACGAAATATTCCCCTAAGTCTCACTCACCAAAACAACCCCTCCATAGTGCAAAACTAAATAGCAAAGAAGGTAAAGAATTGGAACAAAATTATGCCATCTATCACAAAGCCAAATTGAGAGCATGCAACAGTTAAAAAAGTGAGCTCATGAACTTTCTTAATTTTAATTTTTAGTATTTAGAGATGGGATATTGCTGTGTTCCCAGACTGTTACACAGGGAGTATTCACAGTTGCAATCAATGTTCTCTAAAGTCCCA